TGCAGCCAATGCTTTCTTAGCTCAGAGGATTTCTTCGGTTAATGCCATTTCCGCATTGTGTGAGGCCACTGGTGCCAATGTTACAGAGGTGGCCTATGCTGTCGGGAAGGACTCGAGGATTGGTCCAAAATTCCTTAATGCTAGTGTTGGTTTTGGCGGCTCCTGCTTCCAGAAGGATATCCTGAATCTTGTTTACATTTGTGAGTGCAATGGTCTTCCTGAGGTTGCCAACTACTGGAAGCAGGTCATCAAGATCAATGATTACCAGAAGAGCCGTTTCGTGAACCGGGTTGTCTCATCGATGTTTAACACTGTTTCTGGAAAGAAAATTGCTGTGCTTGGTTTTGCCTTCAAGAAAGACACTGGTGATACGCGGGAGACACCAGCAATTGATGTCTGCAAGGGCTTGCTTGGCGACAACGCATCAATCAGCATCTATGATCCACAGGTTTCTGAGGATCAGATTCAACGTGATCTTGCCATGAATAAGTTTGACTGGGACCATCCAATTCACCTCCAGCCGTTGAGCCCAACAGCAGTCAAACAAGTGGCTGTTTCCTGGGATGCTTATGAAGCTACCAAAGGGGCACATGGAATCTGTATATTGACCGAGTGGGATGAGTTCAAGTCATTGGATTATCAGAGGATTTATGACAACATGCAGAAGCCAGCATTCTTGTTTGATGGACGCAATGTGGTTGATGCGGATAAGCTAAGGGAGATTGGGTTCATTGTATATGCAATTGGCAAGCCTCTAGATCCTTGGCTTAAGGACATGCCCGCTGTGGCGTGATGATGGAATAGTAAAGAGGGAAGCTTTGGAAGACTTGTAGCTGACAATATAGAATAATTCTTTACAAGTATTGTTCTTTATTCTAGAAATTGTCTACTTTTCTTTATTCTAGAAATTGGCTACTTGCTTAATGGCTATCAACTTTTCGTTATATAGGAAAGCTAGGCTGTCATCGAGTTATTATGTTCTGTACCTTTCATTCTTACACATTTGTATGGGATGCTGCCAGTTTAATTTGAGAGATGAAATTTCATATTTTATTGATCGTGTCTACTCTTTTATTTTGTCTAGTTTTTTCCTGAGGTGATACCGAGTATAAATCAAGTAGTAGTTCGTTTTACCTGCGAAGTTCCCTAGGAAATTCACCATTTGCTATAATTTTTATTTTGCTGAACGCAGGTTGGTTGGGGTTGGTCATGGTGCAAACTTGTAAAAATACAGAGCGAGCCTCACTAGCTTGTGCGATTCAACTGAATTAGGACCAGAATGCATAATTCATAATTATTTTGCGGTTATTCTGTTGGTAATGATGGCTCCCTTCTAAATTTTAATGATGTGATAAGCAGTTGATCGTTTGTGAAGTTGTCCTAAAACTGACCCTTGGCCTACAAAATCAATTCATCTAAAGATGATTTCAGGCATATTTCTGGGGATAAGAAATGTTGAATCTTTTTAAGATGTAAGCTCCCATATTGATGTGTGTATTCTTAAATTAATAAATATTTTGTATTCGTGGAA